GGGCAGTGTCCCAGAGTTCCTGGATGTTCTGGTTTTCAGGGAGATCTGGAATCTCCATTTGTGTGTCAAACCTCTTAGGCTTTTAAAAGTTGGCAGCTGCTTGAAAATGTAAATTGTCTGGTGGAAGTCAGGCAGAATACATCTGTGAGGGGGTGGGTGGGTGGCAGGCAAGTGGTTTTTTTAAAAAAATAGGCTGTAGCTGGGCATGGTGGCACACACCTGTAGTCCCAGGGCTTGGGAGGCTGAGGCAGGAGGGTTGCTGTGACTTTGAGACCGGCCTGGGCTATAAAGTGAGCTCAAGGCCAGCCTGAACTGTGTAGCGAGACCCTGTTCCCAAAACACACACACACACACACACACAAAAAAAAAAAACCTACAAAAACCTAGGGTGCTTCCCTGTGAAAGGAAGGAGATGGTGGCTGGAATGTAGACGGAAAGGAGAACTGCTCTCCCGGTTCTAGTGCTGTGTTCCCTCCACGGCCAGGGCAGGAAAGCGTGACTGGGCCTCAGAGGAGGGCCCGATTTGTCCCTGAGCTTCTCGGGAAGGAGGTGGAGAAGATTACACACGCAGACTAGCTTGTCACTGCCTGAGTGTCGGCTGAGGGGAAGCGGGGAGGTTCGTGGGTAGCTGGCCCGGTGGGTCTGGGCGGGGGCGTCTAACCCCGTCCCTGGCGTCTGCAGGCTAGACACCAATAGCAGACCTGCCCTTCCCAGTCCTCAGAAGTGTCTGCGGCAGGGCCAGATTTCCTGGGGGTGGGTGGCAGGAGCACCTCTACTCACCGCCCCACCCCATGCCCAGGTCCTCTGAGGACGCAGTGTCGCCCGGGTGTCAGAAATGTGCTGCAGTGACGTGCGTGGCACACACCTGTAATCCCAGCCTTGTGGGACCCAGCCTGGGCAGCTTGGTCATTTGGCGAGTCCCTGTCTCAAAAATGAAAATAATGGGCTGGGGACACGGCTCAGCGGCACAAGTGCCTGCCTGGCAAGCGCAAGGTCCTGAGTTCGATTTCTGGTACAAAAAAAAAAAAACATATTATGATAGGAGCTGGGATTGTGGCTCAAAGGAAGTCTCTCCAAGTGGGGTCATAATCTGGCCTCAGCGAGCAAGGCAGTGTTTTGTTGTTGTTTGTCGGTTTTTGTACTGGGGATTGAGCCCAGGGCTTTGTGCTGCTACCCCCCCCCCACCTTTTGATATTTCAAAGTTTGAAGCAGTGTCTCCTACTGAGTTACCCAGGCAGGGCTCAGACTTGTGGTCCTCCTGCCAGAGCTCCCAGAGGCAGATGTATTTTTAGGTTGGGGATAGTGAGGGTGGGTCTCGTTTAGGTTGTCCCACTTGGGTCCCTGGGAGATCAGAGGGTTAGTGTTTGTGTCCTGCCTTCCTTGCAGCCTCACCTGGGTTCTTCCCAGCCCCGCTGTACTGCTCCCTGGGGGATCTGGAGAGCTCTGGGTTTATCCTCAGCACCCGTGAGGGCTGGGCTGTTCTCTGTCCTGTGTGGGGTGTTCGGTGTCTGGTCTTGGCGCGTCGCCTGAGTTGATCCTGGCTGTAGGGGCTGTCGGGCCCTCTGGGAAGGACGCGGTGCAGCGCACGCTGCTGAGGGATTGAATTACGTGCCCACACGACGGCTTCCCTCGCCAGCGCAGGCTGTGGTAGGGCCTGAGTCCTGACCCTGGCGGTTGGTGGGCAGCTGGTGTAAGCAGTGTGGCTTCTGAATGAGTCACTCTGGGATGAGCCGTTTCATGCACAGCCGGAGGCCTCAGTCTCAGCTGCTTCCTTGGTGCCGCTGGCCCTGCAGCGGGGCTGGGATGAGCCACCGCTGTCATTACGCACACACGGGGCGCTTGTCCCACCCAGCTGCGGTCCTGCACCCGAAGCCCGCACGGCCCTTCTCAGTGTGGAGAGGTCCGGGGTTTCTCCCTGGCCCTGTCTGTTCAGGGCCCTGGCTGCTCACCGCATCTGAGTGGCGTCACACCTGGGCAGTGTCTCTGAGCTGGTCAGACCCAGCTGCGGTTCTCGGAGCTCCCTGGGGCCTCTGGGATTGTGTGTCTGTAAGGAGACCCCGTTATTCCACAACTGAAGTGGTCATCTCCTGGGGGCAGCAGGGTGTCCCCCCAGTTGGTCAAACGCCACATAGCAGAAGATGAAACAAACATGCCTTCATGCAGTGCGTGTCTATGCCGGTGCCGTCCTGGGTGCCGGGCACAGGGGGGTGGGTGAGAGGGCGCTTCCAGGCCTGATGGTGTTTGTAGCTTCCCTGAAAACAAGTCCGACTCTCAGGGGAGGCCCTGCCCTGCCTGTGTCAAGGAGCTGAAGGCCTCCTGGGAGAGCGATTAAAACCTTAGGGGCTGCCAGGTAGACAGACACAGGGCTGAGTTTTTATTTCTTCCATTTTCTTGTTCTGTGGCCGGGCAGGTCTCATCTGCAGAGTGATAATAGATCAGCCCGGTCGTTCCGTCCTCAGAGACACGGTGCTGGGTCCAAATGGCAGCTAGAGAAAGAAAAGTACCAAAAGAAACCGAAAATAAACAGATGGCAGCTGCTGTTGTTAATCTTTTGGGCCATGACAAACCTTGAATGAATCCTCCTGATACCAAGAGCTAGCAAATAAAAAAGAAACTGCCTTGTGTTTTATAGGTCTTTCGCCGCTTTGCCTTGGTTAAGGGTTGGACGGGCGGTGTATTTCTTCCCCCTGGGCAGCAGCGGAGGAGTGAGGAGGGTGTGCTCTGCAGGCTTGGCCCCTGCTTGCTGCTTGCTGTGCCTCTAGGTCCAGGCTCAGGTGGAGGTCAGAATTCCTTCGAGCTGTCAGCCTTGACCTGTGGAAAACAGAAACTGAAGCTTAAATGGTGTGGGGTTACTTTCAGGTGACGGAGACAGAATCTGAGGGTCCATGCTTTGCATTTTTTATTTGGTTGTCTACAGCCATTTCTAACTTACAGTGGTTTCACTTAGAGCTGCAGCTGCAGGACTTACTGGCCTGTAACTTTATTGTAGATCGGTTCATTGTAAGTTGAGCTTCTGCATTTTGCACCTGTGGGTAAAGCGTGGCGTTTAAGCCCTGTGGGGAACGTGTGGCTTCTGCGTTCAAGAGTTTATTCCCTTTTGATAGAACGAAGCAGGTGTACGTGTTTTTAGAGGAAAACACAGGGACGCTATTAAAATAATAATACCATGAGCTGTGGTGCTAAACGCTTCAGATGCTGTCTGCTTTAAATCATGCACAGCCCCTTGAGGAGTGTATTTTCCTTGGTAGTTCAAGCGGAGGCTCAGACAGTCCGTCCTGTGGTTGATGCAGGGTGGAGGTGGGGAGGCCGTCGCGAAGCAGAGAAGGGGTGCTATCACACCGGCGAGGGTTAGGATGCAACTTCTGTTGTGTGGGGGTGGGAGGGAAAGATCAAGGGGGTCTTCGTGAAAGAGTGATGGTCCGTGCAGCACCTGAGTGGTGAGTAGGACCGTGAGAGCTGGAACACGGGGAGCTGGGCCCTGACGGGAGTGATGTCTGAGACCTTTGCTCCTGCCTCACGTTCTGCTTGCGTTTAGGGGATGGGTAGTTGGGATTTGTCCTTTGCACACAATGTTGAGACTCTGACTCCCACGCGGATGTGCACAGCCCCCCTCTAGGCTGATGCCGGGGGCCTGAGAAATCAGGAGGGGGAAGTGGGGCTGGGGCAGTGGCAGGGTGGGGAGGCTGTCAAGAAGCTGTGGAAGTTCGGCAGTCTTCTGGAATGGACGGGCTTCAGAGAGGAGTGGAGTGGGTACTTGGGCCAGAGGAAAACGCTGTCAGAAGTGCCACCCTGGGAGTGAGCCGCTTAGCCCCAGGCCCTGAGAGAGCTGCTGGGTCGGAGCCAGCCCGCAGTGCGCTGGAGAGGCTGAAGGCAGGACTGGCTGGACGGCCGGAGCGGGGGTTGGGGGTGGGGGGAGGCAGGCTGTGACACCTTCTCCGCTAGGTTATTGTCCTCCTGCCACAGAGCTAAGACACTGACAGATCACCGCCCAGACTCTGGTTTGTGCTGGCGCGTTGCAGGGCCCGCACGAGGAGTCCCGCGCCAGACGTGAAGGAGGCACGTGTGGCCAGTCTCTGCACGGAAAATAGAGCCATTTTCAGGGGAGCTTGTTAATATTCTCATTCGGAGAATACAGTACTGCCTCGGTTCATGAACACTCCTGTTGCAAACAATTCAGTTTGCAAACAAAAGCATTTGGCAGAACTTTTCTTCTGTTCACAAACTACACTAGTGACAAACAACCACAGCCGTCTTCCCCACACAAACACAAACGCAGCCATCTTCTGAAAAATTATAAAACAGATCAAGTTCGTAAACCGAGGTACCAGGGCTGGGGATGTAGCTCAGCAGCGTAATGGCTTGCCTGGCAAGCCTACGCTCATGAGTTCGATTCCTGGTACCAAAAAAAAACCGTAAACCAAGGTTCCCCGTGTTCATTAAAAGCATGCTGTGTGTGAGGCACGGTACCTGACACTTACCCGTGGTAAATGACACAGCACGGGCCTGGCCCCCGTCCTCTGGCGCTCTGCCCGCTGACCTAACCTGGAGGTATGGTGCCACAACCTTCGGCTCCCATGAGAAGACTGTAAGGTTTCTTTCTTTTCTCTTTCTCTCTTCCGCTTCCTCTCTGCCCCGTCTTCTTCTGAGCCGGGGTCTCACTATGTAGCCCTCTTTGGCCTTGACACGTTCCCCCTGGAGCCATAATTCCTATGTCTGGTTGCCAGGCAGCGTGAGTCGCTGGTGGTCTGTCTGTGGCTGTCCCACCAGGCAGCTTTTCATTAATGCCACCAGTAAAAAGACGGATAAAAGTGGTTAGATCCGCTTGTAGCAGCACTGGTATAAGCTGCCCGGTGGGACAGTCATGCCGCAGGCGGTTCAGGCTGGCGGGAGCAGGTGAGGCCTACGCTCCCAAGTGCTGGGGTTGCAGGTGTGCGCCGCCATGCCTGGCTTGTAGCTGTCTGTTATGCTTTCTTTAACTGTATTGTTTGGTTTGTTGACAGACAAAGCCACAGACCCGAGTGTGTCAGAACAGGATTGGTCAGCTGTCCAGAATTTTTGTGAGCAGGTGAACACAGACCCCAATGGGTAAGGCACCTTCACTTTCACACTGAGCTCTGAGGGCACGAAGGCTGGGCATGGGCCTTTATCTCTTGGGACACTTAGGATATTCTATTTTTGTTCCTCTACCCCAGTTTTTTTTTTTCTTTTATTGTTTGAGACAGGGCTTTAGTATGTCAGGCTAGCCTTGGACTCACTTATATCATCCAGGTTGGCCTCGAACTCAGGGTGATCCTCCTGCCTCAGCCTCCTGAGTGTTGGGATTGTAGGGGTGTACCACCACAATTTTTTTTTCTAAAACTGAGCCTGGTGTGGTGGCTCATGCCTATAACCCCAGCATTTTAAGAGGTTGAGGCAGGAGAATCATAGTGAGTTCCAGGCCAACCTGAGTTACATAGTGAGTTCAAGGTCAGCCTGAACTGCAGGGTGAGACCCAGTCTCAGAAATAAAATAAAATTAAATTGAGTTAACAAATTCATGTGCCTTTTTTTTTTTTTTTGTAACCCTTTATCATGTGGCTTTTTAAAAAGTGGTTGTTCACAACTATTTACTGTTATTAGTCAGTTATTTTTTGAGACAGGGTCTTGCTATATAGTCCAGGCAGCTTTGAACTCACTAGCCCAGGCTAGCCTGGAACTTGTGGGGATCTTCCTGCCTCAGCCTCCTGAGTGCTGGGGTTACAGGTGTGCACCATCCTGTTTGGCTTTTTTTTGTATTTTTTTTTTTTAAACTGTAAGACTCTGTAGGTCCTGGTAGTACACACCTATAATGGCAGCATTCTGGGAGGCTGAGGCCACAGGGTGGCAAGTTCAAGCCTAGCCTGCTCAACTTAGTGACTTAGTCCCTGTCTCAAAATTTAAAAATTTTTTAAAGGGCCAGAGATGTAGTTCAGTGTGAAGGCCCTGCTTTCAATCCCTAGCACTACAAAAATAACCCCCGCCCCCAGAAGCAACAGAAGAAAACCCGGGTGCTAAGAAGTCTGAATGTTGCTGCTAAAATGGTGCTAGTTTATTGATGTGGAACACACCGGTGTATTCTTCATTTAAATGTAGTCTTCTATGTGAGGAAGCAGGAAATAGTAAGATGTTTTTAAAGTCTCAGCTTTTTTTTGTGGTATAGGAGATTGCACCCAAGTCCTTGAGCGTACTGGGCAGTGCACGCCGCTGCGCTGTCCGCAGCCACCGGACGGTGTTTTACTGGATTCTGTTTCTGAGCCCTGCGTGGGCACTGCCCGGGTCGGTTGCTAGCCCCGCTGTTGGGCCTGCACGGTGCTGAGTGTTGAGCTGCTGTGGTCTGAGTCAGAGCTGGCCTGCGCTTCTTCCCCCAGTGCTACCCTCAGCAGTTGTGGCGGGCACAAGGGCTCGTGCTGCCCAGAGCTGGCGGCCCGGGGTGCAGCGCCCTGCCCGCCCTGCCCGGAGATTTGGGGAGCTGGCCGAGGGAGGCTCATGCGGCCCGGGTGGAGCAGGACCCTGTGTGCTGCAGGGACAGCAGGCGGCTGGGAGTCGGCCCGACGGACTCCCGTGCCGGGCTCTGCGCCAGCCGCGCTGGAGCCCTGCTTTGGGACCCCAGCTCTAGGACGGCAAGTGACTTCACCAAGCACTTAGGGGAGTGGTTGGTTTGCTCCTCCGACCGGACATCCAGGCCCTTTTGTTTCCCCTTAGCCCGACACATGCGCCCTGGCTGCTGGCCCACAAGATCCAGTCGCCGCAGGAGAAGGAAGCTCTTCACGCCCTGACCGTGAGTTTGGCGGCCCCTCCTCCCGAGCGCCTGACCTGGGGCTGGAAGGAGCACGGAGGGGGACTTGCCTGTGCCCGAGGCCTTTTCCGTGGGCGCCTGAGAGGTTCAGCCTCACCGCCTGGGATAGCAGGCTGGAGGGGGTCCGGGCCCGGCGGCCCGTCCCAGCTCAGATCTGTGTCTAGAGAGCAGTGCAGTGTCAGGGTCATTGTAGATGTGGGGAAGTTAGCCGTGGTTCACCAGGAGCCCTAGAGCCCGCGGCCCCCTTCCTGCTCGAGGAGGGAAGGAAGGCTTTATTTCCCTTTTTTTTTCTTTTTTGTCTTTTTGAGACAGGGTCTCACTCTGCAGTTCAGGCTGGCCGGGAGCTCACTTTGTAGCCCAGGCTGGTCTTGAACTTGCAACAATCCTCTTGCCTCAGCCTCCGGAGTGCTGGGATTGCAGGCATGCGCTGCCACACCCGGCTTATTTCCCTTTACTTTAGACCAAGGCTGGCAAGTTCCAGTGCCCACAGGGTCTCCTGTGAATCCCTGCACTGTGTGAGGCTGCCATGGGAGGGCACATGCTCATCTGCAGAGGCCTGAGTTTGGGTCCAGTGTTTGAAAATCTTTTGTTGTTTGTTTGAAAAACTTTTGGTTTTTCTTTTTTTTTTTTTCTTTTTTCTTTGTGAGAGGTGTCTCACTATGCAGTTCAGGCTGGCCTTGAACTCAGTATGTAGCCCAGGCTGGTCTTGAACTCTCAGGGATCCTCCTCCCGAGTTCTGGGATTACAGGCATGCACCACCATGCCGGCTTGGTTTTTCAAGAGAACACAGAAATCCAGGTTTTTAAACTGCTCTTCCTGGCACACACCTATAATTCCAGCACTTGGTAGGCTGAGGCAGGATGGTTACCAAGAGTTCAAGGCCAGCCTAAACTACATAGCAAAACCCTGTCTCAAAAAAACAAAACAAAATCAAATCCAGATTTTTGTTCAAATTCTCTGAATATGTAAATGTTGATGGAAACACTGTTTTCTGGAATGAAGTATTGCCCAATTCCAGAATTGAAGATAAAGCCAGTCACAGTCTACCATGTGGGCCACCATGCCTGGTAATCTTTAAACTTTAAAAAAAAAAGCTCTTAACTTATTGGACATGTTGAAAACTGACAGATGTCCAGAGGTGACATGTGTAGGTCAAATGTGCCCCTTGAGTGCCAGTGGGTGACCTCTAGTGGCACAGTTCTTGGGCATGTCCGTGGGATTTCTTCCTCTGGGGAGGTTGTGATTCTCAGACCAGTTTCACCTGCCCAAGGGGTCTGGGTCTCCTTGACTGATGGCGTGACCTCTGAGTGCACACAAGCCCCACTGAGCTACTTCCTGGGCACAAGCATGGCCGTGTTAGGGGACATTTTTTCTTTTCTTGGAGACATCTGTTCTCTCCCAAATGTCAGGGTCATTGCAGACGCGGCTCGCTTGGGGGAGTTAGCCAGGGTTCTCCAGGCGCCCTGGAGCCCGCGGCCCCCCCTCACAGGCCCTGTGTGTGTGCAGGTGCTGGAGGTGTGCATGAACCACTGCGGGGAGAAGTTCCACGGTGAGGTGGCCAAGTTCCGCTTCCTGAATGAGCTGATCAAGGTGTTATCGCCGAAAGTGAGTTCCTGGGCCGGGGCCTGACCAGCGGTGGCAGAGCCTGCAGACCCACGCGTGGCAGAGCCTGCCTGCCGCCTCCAGCTGGGGAGAGGAGGCCGTGCGCCTGCCAGCCAGCCCCTGTCCAGAGCCTGGGAGGCGGCTGTGTTCACTCACCCGCTCCCACTGCCCTCTGCGGTCAGCATTGTTTCTCGTTCCCCCTTGGAAGGGGCGTGTCCTGTCGCGGGGTGTGCAGCCTTGCGGAGGGGGCGCTCCAGCTCAGAGGCACAGTTGCCCTGGTGGAGGTGCTGAGCAGTCACTAGGTGTGACTGTTGGCGTCACACTGCGTCCTGCCTGCCTGTCTGGGCCTTCGCCCCGAGAGCCTTACTGTGCCGCTCTCGGGTAGCTGGCGTTGGAGCCCTTCCTTGCACAAACCAGCAAGTTCTCTGGTGGCTCCTGTGTGTCCTGCAGTTCATTTGGATTCTGTTTTGGTTTTTTTTGGTCTTTTCAAGACAGGATTTGGCTGTGCAGTTCAGGCTGGCCTTGAGCTTACTTTGTCGCCCGGGCTGGCCTCGAACTCGCAACGATCCTCCTCCCGAGTGCTGGGATTGCAGGCTTGCGCCACCACGCCGGGCTTTCATCTGGATTCTGACACTACCCGGAGTTACTGTCCTCACACCCTAGATGCTTAGCTGGTCCTGTTAGACCGCCCCGCCTCAGGTCCTCACACTGTATCTGCATTGCTGGCTGCCAGTGTGGGGCTCCCCTGCTCCCGGGCTCCACAGCTCACTGGACAGCTCACAGGGCCCAGGAGGTGCTGTGTGTCCTTCCCTTCTTGCTGTGAGGGGCACGCATGTGAGGGATGCGGTGAAGCTCGCTGGAGGAGGGAAGGAAGGCGCGGCCGTGCGGATCCCGCTTGCCCGCCCCGCGCGGGGGTGCATTCACCAGCCAGGCAGCCCTCGGCTCCGCTCCTGTCTGGGTTGTGTCACCTGGCAGGACCGAGTCAGTCACTGCCCGCGTGTGCGCTGGCTCCAGTTCACGCTCCTCCACACCCCTTACTTCCGGCTCAGGGGATTCGCTGCTGATTTCAGGTTTTTGTTTATTTTTGGTTCTGGGAATGAACTTAGGACCTTGCGCTTCGTGGCAGGCACTGTGCCTCTGAGCTGTGCCTCCCGCCCAATTTCAGCTCTTCGCCTAGTTCTTTCTGTGGTGCCCAGTCCACTCCTTGGAGACGAACGTATTTCCCACCATGGGTCATTAATATAAACTCAGGTGTGGGCCAAGGGGCCTCCTTCTGAATAACAGGACATCCCTATCACTCAGGAAATTTTTTTTTTTTTTTTTTTGGAGATAGGGTCTTGCTATGTGTAGCTCAAGCTGTCCTTGAACTCACTCTGTAGCCCAGGCAGACCTCGAAATTGTGGCAGTCCTGCCTCAGCCTTCCAAGGACTGAGATTATAAGCCTGCACCACTATGCCTGGCAATTCTACAGGTTTTTGAAGCTCTGTGCTGGAGATGGGTTAAGATCCCATTTTGTTGTTGTATACTTGCATCGGTCCCAAAAAAAAAAAAAAAAAAAATTCCATTGGTGTAGACAAGGCTGTGGCCTAGGCCTGTGCATGGTGAGCTTTAACTTCACACTGACAGTGATGGCAGGGGCTGTGGGGTTGGTCTCCAGGTCCTTTGGCCTCTGACTGCGTCTCACTCTGTACCCGCGTTGGGCTGCCCGTTTCCCTGGGCCTTACAGCTTCTCTTTCATGTGAGTGTTGGCCAACAGGTCTCCTAAGACTCAGGTAATTTTCTCTCCTTTCTCCTTTCAGTACCTCGGGGCCTGGGCCACAGACAAGGTTAAAGGAAGAATTATTGAAATACTCTTCAGTTGGACCGTGTGGTTTCCGGAAGACATCAAGATCCGAGACGCCTACCAGATGCTGAAGAAGCAAGGTCTGACTGCTGTCGTTGACGTCGTGTTCCTCTCCACCTGGTGGTGTCTGTCCCCCTTTTATGCCTTGTGACCCGTCGGAAGATGTACGTCCTGTGGGGGACGGTAGAAACTGAGGGAGAGTCTTTCCCCTGGACACAGGTGGACCTTTCCTTCTGGCAGACAGCAGTCCAGCTGCGTTTGAGCTTTGCTGCTGCTGTTGTAGCTCTCGTCACTGCCCGACACCGGGTTCCGCTCCTGTGGTGTCTTAAGTTGAAGCTGGGGGTTGATTTGCTGGGAGTCTGCTTGGTGGCCCTTCGGTCTGCGCCTTGGAGAGGGCCCTTCTGCACGCTGCGGCTGCAGGCGGTGGTGACTTGTGTAGGAGAGTGCGGGTGGGGCGGGGCAGGCACCAAGCCTGTGGATTTGTGTGATTTCTCTGGGATCCAGCCCTACTCAGGACACAATCTCTGCTCCTGCCCCAGGCCATGCGCCTGCGTCCTACTTTTTCCATGCTCTTCCTGCAGCTGCAGTGGGCCCCTCCAGCTCTAGGAGGGTGCAGGCTTCATCGCCCTTCTCCCAGCAGCTTACAGACTTTCGTCCCTGGGGAGAGAGAGGAGCCGCTTGGAGAACAGCTCACTTTCCATGTTTTGTGTCCCTCAAAGTTCTGTTTTCTCTTGGTAGCTCTCGCTGGCCTGTGAGCAATCTTAAACAATTTTAGCTGAGTTATTTTTTGGGCTTTTTTGAAACAAGAGTTTTGCTTTCTAGTACAGGCTGACCTTGAACTCATTGTTCATTGAGCCAAGGTGACCTCAAACTTGTGGCAGTCCTCCTGCCTCAGCCTCCTTAGTGCTGAGATTACAGGCATGTGCCATGATGCCTGGCCTGAGTTGTTCTTTCTAGTGTTACTGTCCACTGTTCATTGGAGCACTGCCTTTTCTTAGATTTCAGGTTAACTGATGGTTGCCCTGTGGTCACCGCTCTCTTGGATTCAAAAAAAATTGTTAAATTGCGGCTTGTTTAGTCCCCGCCCCCCACTGTTGTCAGGATACTCTGTCTGCTTTGTACATCCTGTCTGGGAAGCTGGGAGTCCAAGTTCCTTTTAGGCTGGGCTCTTTTTTGAGAGTGAACTGCTTTTAAGGTAGATTGTTTTTCCTTGTTACATACATCTCTTGGTACTTTCCGGAGCTTCCTCGGGGATCCTACGGTAGTTTCTGGGCCTGAGCAGTTATTATGCAGCAAGTGACCATCATCTTGATAGCAGAAGACCCACAGCTACAGACCTCAGGTTCTGCTCCGATGCCCCTGACTTTACGGTGGTTTTCTGATTCTCCCGAGAGATAATGCAGAGCTTCCCCTGCACCTTGGATACATCTTCTGGAGGCTGTTCTGCTGGGTTTTTTGTGGGGTATCAGGAACCGAAGGTTTCTGACCTTATACTGGATCTTGCTAAGTCACCAGGTACCCGTACCTGTATCTTAACTTTGTGAATTGCATATTTTAGGAATCATAAAACAAGACCCTAAACTACCGATGGATAAAATCTTACCCCCACCTTCGCCCTGGCCCAAGAGCTCCATCTTTGATGCTGATGAAGAGAAGTCAAAGGTAAGGAACTACTCCCGGGCCTCAGTAGCTGGTGTGCGGTCTGACCAGACCCGCTTCCTTGGGGGCCGTCCCAGAAATGCCCTCTGACCTCGGAACCCGAGCGTGGGAGGACATGGGGGTAGGGCAGTGTGGAAGTGGTCTTAGGCAGCAGAAGTCCTGGACATGTTCAGGAGGGGCTGGTGGGAAATTTCCCGCTTCGAGCCGTCCCAGTGTCTGCCCCTGTGCTCCCCGGGGAAGGGCCTGGGAGGCCACCCAAGGCGGGGGTGCGGCTCATCGATGGCTCATCGTGTGTGCGGTATGGGGCGGGGGAGAGGAAGGAGTTGCGTTGGCGAAGGTGGTTTCAGTGCTGGCGAGCCTGGTGCCACCTCTGGCCTCCCGGGCTTGTTGGCCTCAGACATCAGTAAGAACGGGAGGGGAGAGGAGCGCTGTCAAGCCCCAGCCCGAGTGGGGGAGAACGCTGCGTGCGGGAGGGGCTGGGGTGTGGCCGACTGCTAAGGGAGGTGGCTGGCTGTGTCGCCGCAGGGAGGGTTCCCCAGACTCCCTGTCCTGAGCTAAGGTGGAGGGGCTCCTGTGTGCTGGGCGTCCGGCCGGGCTTGGAGTAAAGTGATAGACAGGATGGCCTAGCTGCGTTCCATCGCAGAGGGTGCAGTCCGGGGCGTCCTCTGCAGTCTTGAGTTTCGAGACTGACGTTCGTGTCCTGGAGTGGGTGGAGGCGGTGCGGAAGGATGGACATCTTCCTGCCGCTACCCAGGAGGTGGCCGTAGCACCTCATCAGTTGTGACAGCCAGACGTGTCCCCAGGCTCTGTCCCACGTACCAGTGGGAATATGTGTGCTTCTCCCATCCTTGTGCCGTGAGAAGCAGGCGTTTGCTGGGATGGTGGTGGGACCCCTGTCACAGGTAGCGTGGCCGTGGCGGCACAGTGAGATGACTCGGGCACACGGCTGTCATTGGTGTTAACGCTGCCCCTCTGGGCCTCCCCACTCTGCTTCCTCAGCTTCTGACGCGACTTCTGAAGAGCAACCACCCCGAGGACCTTCAGGCTGCGAACCGGCTGATCAAGAGCTTGGTCAGGGAGGTGGGCTTCTTCCAGTTGGGTTTGTAGAACCAGCCTTTGACGGGGCTGCTGACCGTGTGCGCGTGTGTGCTTGAGGGTGCGGGACGAGTGGCTGGCGGCCCAGCCCTGTGGCCTGCGAGCTCCTGAAGGGCAGCAGGGTGGTGGCCAGAGGAAGCAGTCATGTTCTTGTGCGTCCTGGCTCCCTTTTCTGTTTGTTTTGTTTGACACCAGGTCTCGCTATGCAGTTCAGGCTGACCCTGAGCTCACTTTGTAACCCAGGCTGGTCTTTTTTTTTTTTTTTTTTTTTT